TCAGTGTTTTATATCTGAAATAAATGCTTTGAGACTAATTAATATTGCTAAGGCTTCTAAATAGGCCATATCCATGTATAAACATTGATATTTCTAGTTTTCAAATATTTTTTTGTTTTTTAATATAGCTAACCATTCTATAGTTGAAGCATTAACAAAAATAGTAATAATTTGGAATGATTTTCATGCAGGCCTTCCATTTTTTTTAAAAAATTTTCTATTAACTATCTTAAATCATTTTTTGTTTGAATTGTTAGCTTTATATAATTGTTTCATTTTTATAGTTTCTAATGTATTGTATTAATTATTGTATAAAATTCCAGGCATTAAACTTTTGCATATGCAAATGCTTGATTTATACTCATCAATTTTCCAGTCACTGATGCTAGGTATCAGGCTATTAGTGATTTTGCTGTTAGCACTCATTGTAGATTGTATAGTGTATCTTTTATTTTTGCATTTGAAGCCGATATAACTCCTGTTACTATGTTTAAAATTAAGCCATAGAATTTTGATTTTTGGGTTGAATCTAATTGACTTTTGTCAACCAGTATAAAACCCAATTTTGTCAAATCTGGAAGAATTGCCAAATCTCTGATTTGTAGTAATATCACTTAATTGGGATGAACAATCCATATATTGTCTACATGATTCTTACAAGATATTTCTAAAGATCACCAATGGCCAATCAATGCCTGCATTATTTTTGAGAAAATCTATACCACTTGACTTAGTCCAAAGAGCATTACATGATAATGATACCATTTTTTTTTTACTTGGAACCCTAGTAATTGTTAAGCTTTCTTGTTCATTAATATATGATAATATATCTCTTTTAAATCTAATATGATTAGCTACCAGTTTTTGCTAATTATCCAAAGAAATATCCCAAATCCCTTGAATTTGAATGTCTTTTCTGGTAACATTACATTTAACTATCTGAGATTGATCACCAATCTTCATTTCTTGTGACCCTTTTTCAGTATTAAAAATATGGTGCTGACTTTCAATAATATTGTTGGACATGTTTTCATTGATGAAATTAAAGTAATTGCTTTTATTTCTATTAATCTTTGTATTTCTGTTTCTAACCAAACATCTTGTTCTTTGGTTAAAGGATAGTGCAGAGAATTAGATTGGTTCGCCAGTACTAATAGTCCTTTTGGAAATAAAGGAATGCCATTTTCCAACCAGTTACTATTAGTTCCGATGCCTATATTTTTGTCTTCCAGTAATTTAAGTGTTGTTTCATGTACAAGCGTCCAGTTACTGGTATGTGATATTGTGCTCGAGTATAGTCAATTATGCTTTCTGTTCTCATTGTCTCCATTGTTATAGCTTCTATTGTATTTTCTCTTGTAGAAAATATATTCTCGTGAATAGTAGATTCAATACTTGTAATTGCCTTTGTTCGGGTCTTATGGACATCACTCGCATAATGTTCATATTCTTCACAGATATAGCACTTGCTGGAGTTTGGATTATTGTTTTTGCTTCTCTGGTTGGCTCAAAAAAACTTTTCTGAATCCCGATAATTGTTTCTCCAATGGGTATGATTGTTTATTTTTGATAGTTCATATGTTTTTTGTCGCTTCACCTTTTTCACTTCCACTAATGTCTTCGCTTTTTCAATTAATGAATCCTTTCCCTTCATCCAATTATTTTGTGTAACAGGTAAGGCAGATCCCATATTTTTCAGCTACTTTTAATGTAAATATACGATTGGACGCTATTTCTCGTGCATTATTTATATGATCTACCACTTCCATCGTACTGCGAGATATATTGCTAGGTCTAATTCTTTACCGATTTTTCGTAAGGCATCATACTTATGTTAATTACGTGATTTTTCAAACTTATGTTTTTGCCATGTTTCATTTACTTCAACTTTTTGTTTTGTATCATGTACTTGCGCCGTTACAGTATTCAACTTATGGTTCATTGTTAATACGACACTTTTTAATCCCTTAAATTCTGTTAATATTTTACTTTCTGTCGATTCACTATCATCATTTGGTAGGCGACGTTTTTTATTTAGTAAATTTTGTCTAGGTTCCAGTTTGTCATTTTCAAGACTCAGCGACTGTTCTCTAACTAAGGAGTCCCATGGTTCTGCTCCTTTTCGTGACAGGTATGCCAGTTCTCTTAAAGTTCTTGCTTGCTGATTTAAATCTATTTCTGATGTATCTGAGAGGTGATCATGACCCATTGTGTTTAGACCCTCCTCTTCATTTCTACGGGATAGTTCAGTGTCGTTGCTTTCAGCATGGTTTTTTCCTTTTATATGCTTTCTCAATCTCTGAATCAGGTCAGCCTTTACTCCGTCCGTAGCGATACCAAGGGCTTTACAAACATTTTCGAGGTCTTTTTTTGATATATTTGTGTCAGTCATTAGAACTTGAAGGTAGTCTTCACGAAAAGCTGGATAAGAATCGGGCAGCGAAGAAAACAAGCACTAGTGATCTCATCATTACATCATTCCATACAGTGGCGATCATAAGTAATGGAGCAAAAAAAATTTTTTTGTTAGTTTACATTATTTTATGCAATTATAGACATT